CGTGCTCAAGCAAGCGTGGAGGCACCACTCAGCTTCCCAGGCATCTCCGAGCCAGCGGTTGCAACTACATCTCACCACCACAAATCGGTAGTCAATTTATCGCCCCTCAAGCGACGATGGGCTACGTCGATGCGCTCGCTCGGGTTTCGGCTGCAAAACCCGCCGAGCATTCTAAACCTCCCGCGGTCGCAGCTTCTCGGTTAATTAACGAACAGCAAGGCCCTCTTGATGGCAATCGCACACGTCTCTCTGTTGAGCCGCGTCTGAACGTAATGCACGTTTTCGGCCGGTGCCACTGGAATAATAGTTACAATTAAAACGATTATTCGAGCGTACGCCTGTGTAGTTTCGGCGCAAAAAATGTTTTTAAAAGCGTGCAATGTAAGCCGAGCGGGAGCAATCGGCACGTGAGACCACGCGGGCGGTCGTCGGTTTCTCTCCATCAAGACTCGAGGTGGGAGCGCACCCAGCGCGCCTTCATGTTGATGGAAGGGGTCGCGGTGCAGACGCCGGCAGACCGACTCGGGTCTCGGGATTATTATTGTTGTTGTTGTTGCCGGCGGCGCGCTCGACTTTAATGTACCCCCGCGCTCGCAGGTATCACTACGCCGCCCATGAAATGCGTCGGGATCTCGGCACGTGTTCATCTCGGAAAGCCAAGCGTGGGGGAGGGGGGAGGGTTTGGGCCAGGACAGGGCTTGGATAGACGACCACGAGGCTGTTTGGATTCACCACTGAGGTATTAGCTTATTTTTCAGGAGCGACCAGGCAACACAAATGATAGCCCAACGAAGTGGCTTATCACGTGGAAATATTGAGCAGCCAAATACTCTCAACGCGCGATGTTGATTCTAAACGTGGAGGGGAACACCGGAGGCTGTGGAGAAAAAGCCACGCAACCACTAGGAGACACGCAAACTCCAAATATACAGCAGCAGGCGTCAGGGTCGGGATCGAACCCACGACCTCCTGTACACCAGGCGAGGTAGTTAACATCTCCTAGCCACCGTGATGATGATGATGATGAGAGAGAGACACACACACTCCAAATATACAGCAGCAGGCGTCAGGGTCGGGATCGAACCCACGACCTCCTGTACACCAGGCAAGGTAGTTAACATCTCCTAGCCATCGTGATGATGATGATGAGAGAGAGACACGCAAACTCCAAATATACAGCAGCAGGCGTCAGGGTCGGGATCGAACCCACGACCTCCTGTACACCAGGCAAGGTAGTTAACATCTCCTAGCCACCGTGTGATGATGATGAGAGAGAGACACGCAAACTCCAAATATACAGCAGCAGGCGTCAGGGTCGGGATCGAACCCACGACCTCCTGTACACCAGGCAAGGTAGTTAACATCTCCTAGCCATCGTGATGATGATGATGAGAGAGAGACACGCAAACTCCAAATATACAGCAACAGGCGTCAGGGTCGGGATCGAACCCACGACCTCCTGAATACCAGGCGAGGTAGTTAACATCTCCTAGCCACCGTGGCACCCACAGCACAAAGTAGGTGATTAGTCCGCGGAATTCCGGGAGGTCTCGTATGAACCTCAGAGCCACGATACATTCGTACGTGCACCACAAAGTGTGAATAGATACGTTAACAATGTATACTTTAACAATGTATACGTGAACAATATATACGTTCACATAACAACCCCTTCGATTAAATCGTGACCCGAGATCGATTCATCAAATTGTGCAGCTGGTGGGTCGTTAGAATCTTACAGTTCTACGTAGTTGTTATTTTTAAAAAAATCATTCAACCCTATCATTCCATAGGGGTCGAGAACTTGAGGTACCGCTTTGCGGGAATTCAACAGCGATTGTCCATCCGGTGGACATACTGGTCCCCTCCCATGGGAATGTGGAATTGCCACCAGTGATCGTGGCTGCTGCCGATGGAGACGAGGAGGCTCCATCCCCGCGCCCTCGGGTTGAGCGGGGAGACATTCTGACCGCACGCAAAATGTTTTGCTTTGTAAATCATCCAGACGGAGTGAGAACAGCGAGTCCACTATCGTGCCCGTAATTGGAAAACAGAGTTCACAGTGAGAGTGGCATCTGAGCTCCCAGTCACCAACAGCCGACTGCAGTCATTCCAGCCAAGTCAGATCCCCTCCCCTTCCCCACCCATCTCATACGGGTGATTAAGTTGCCCAACAGGGCCATTTGCCAAATCTGCTTAATCACACTAACCATATTAATACTAATACCCATCTGATTATGTACGGTGCCGTTGTCAATCCACTGCTGGATGAAGGCCTTCTGACACTGCGTCAGTCACGGGGGTTGTGTAAAGGTGGCATAGCCATGAATTTAGGGGCCGATTCATGCGAGGTGGGGTGCCAGTGTGGGAGTTTTTCACCAAACGAACTCACGATTCTTACTCACTTTTTTATTTTACCAGCTAAGGCCCACTGAGCTATATGGGTCTTTTTCAGAAGTGGCCTGGCCACATATGATAGCCCAACGAAGTGACTCATCGCGTGAAAATCCGTATCGGCCAAATACTCCAAACGCTTGTTGATTCTAAATGTGGAGAGAGAAAAACCAGAAGACCCGGAGAAAGATCCACGCGAAGCATGGGGAGAGGAACATGCAAACTCCAAATGAACAGGCATAGTCAGGGTCGAGATAGGAACTCACGACCTCTTGCGTACCAGCCGAGGGAGTTAACATCTCCCACCGCGGTACCCCTCTGCTCCATGTGGGTTCAACAGAAGCGTGACAGGTCTCACCGCTGATGTCCGCCATGGGCTAGGAATTTGACTCAGGTGAGGGCAGTGCGCTAATCACTGCTCCACTGCTAAGTCATGCACAAATACAGTCGAATATTTGATATTAAACGTTTCTACATCTCATCACCTGCATCATCTCCATTTCCATCCCTGCAGCAGTGAAATCAGTCCGCCACACGCGTCTCGAAACGGAACTCGATCCCAGATTAGGAACATGTACGGAGAGGTGAATGTACCTGTCTGCTCTCCTTGCAGCGTCGTGACGCATGATTGCATGCTCGCGATGGACTCAAGGTGAGGTTTGTTGGGCGAGGAAACCAAAACTTAAATCTAACAGAGAGGGCCCTTGCCGACAAACATCTGGCACATTGCCGGCATCGGTTGAAGCAAAGCGTGACCTTGCTGAGGAGCATCTCTGTGTTGAAACCGCTCCAGAGTTATTGCCAGAAGGCTGCGGGCCTGCATCTTTATCACAGGAAACTTCAGATTGTTTGGCTGCTATAAATCCACACGTGATAAGCCACTGAGTTAAGCGATCGTTTGTGGCCAGGTCGCTTCTGAAATAGAAGCTCATAGCGAAGTGAGCTTTACCTGGCAAAACAATAAAAAATAGTTTAGTTTAATTTGTATCTGTTTTTGTTTTGTGAATTGCTTACCTGTCTGTACTTTGCACTCCTATCGTGTTTCTTGTTGTAACATTCTTACCCCGTGCCCCTACCGAACATCTGTGAAAAAGAGCTTTAGAGCTCATGGGATTGCTCCTGCAGTATCAATACTGATTCTGGTTCTGGCATTTGGGAGCGAGGATGTGGATGTCGCAGAGGACTTTGTTTGTGGGCCTTTGGGCCTGCGGTCAGAACCCGTGCACAAAAAACCCCACAATTTAAGGGGGTTGCGAGGAGGTCAATAGACGTTTGTCATTCGGCTGGGCTACTTCCATCACGCTGATGGAGCAAAGAGGTCAACTGCTGCGCTAAGAGGCCGGTGTTTGAGGCAGGAGTAATGTCCGTGTTATTGTAGCAGTCAGAGAGCTGGACTTCACTCATGCAGACGGGGAGAAAAAAAGCTTCAGCTGTTTAGGATATCGGTGTATGGGAACGATGCAATCAATATGATGACCGCATTAGATTGATGACCTTTAAGTATTGATGTGCAAGTGTCTGAAAATTACCAACTGGTTGAAAGCTAAATCTGCATTCTCGGTGTTGGCAGGGTGCTTGCCTACCAATCGAAAGGTTACAAGTTCAATACCTCATCCTGCTTATGGATCAGCACAGGCAAATCATCCCTCTAGGATCAATAAACAGGGTAACCATCAGTGGAAGTCCTGTTGACACCCTTGTCCCCACCATAGAAATGTGGAATTACCAACGCAGGCTCAAGGCTGCAAACAGCAATGAGCGCTTCTCCCAACTTGCGTTTCTGACCTAACAGTTGGAAGTGACGCGATTCTAAGTTCACCGACACAGCCTCTGCACTGAGTGCAACCTGGGCAGGGTACCACGAGTTCCTCATTGAGAGACCCGACGAAGACGCAGAAGAACCACCGTATCGATCTTCTGTGAAGCATCCACGCACAGATGTGGAATCTTCATGGTGGTTGCGAGCGCGTGGTAAAACATAAAATCTCCCCGGCGGCATGGAGACTCTGCTCACCACCCAGAGCAGAACCGTGGACCGCATCACCACTCCATGCCCGATTCACAAACACGAAGGAGGAGGCGTCACTGCAGCTGGGACGTGTGCTCACCACTCCGCTACACCTGATGCAATCGTCTGGCTCAACCAGCTCTACGTGGCCGTAGACCACGCGAAGAACAAGATTATATAAACTCCCCGCGCCCGTGACGCTCGCATCGAGCTCTGCGCGCGCGCGAATCCACAACTGCATTCAGTGCCGAACACGACCACAGATTAAAGCCAGGGGTTTTGCAAAAAAAAACTTACATTTTGTCCTGCCCCAGTTCACCTTTTGTTTTTTAAAATCTTGACGCCACCGACCACAGATCGGGGAACGGTGGGCGGGGAGGGGGTTGAGGAGTGGGGGGGGACGGGGAGGGGGGTGGAGGAGTGGGGGGGGACGGAGTGGGGGGTGGAGGAGTGGGGGGGACGGAGAGGGGGGTGGAGGAGTGGGGGGGGGACGGAGAGGGGGGTGGAGGAGTGGGGGGGGACGGAGAGGGGGGTGGAGGGGACATGGAGGAGGGGGGGGGGTGCAAAGATCCGCGTTGGGGCACCGCGCGCGCCTCACCTTCCGCTTCTTGGCGCGCCCCTCGGCCTGCAGCGTGCGCGTGCACTGCTCCACGCACTCGCTGAAGCTCAGGCCGCCCGGCTCGCCGCTGTAGTCCTCGTTGGCCAGCTTCGCCAGCGCCAGGATGTAGCTGCAGGCGATGCGCAGGATGGCCAGCTTGCTGAGCTTCTGCCCGTACGAGTAGCACGGCACCTGCGGGAAACGAAGGCCGAGTGAGGACGGGACCCACCACCCCCCTCCAGCACCTCGCCACGTGCGCCCCTCCGAGCCGAGTGGCAGCTCGGTACCCGCGCACGCGGCGTGAAAGTGGAACGAGCGATGCGGGGCAGAGCGGTGCGCTGTGGTTAGGGCGCTTTGCTCGCATTCGGCCGTGTCTGGAAGTGAACTTTCTCGGAATCATAATTGAGAACAAAAAATGCAGTTAGAATAGTCGTCGTCATCATGATTGTTGTTGTTTTAAGCCGCGGTTGTGTGGCCATCAGCCGACTGCTGGACGAAGGTCTCCCCAAGCCGCCTCCGTCTCTCGCGGGCTCACAGTCCACCGATCCGTCTGGCCCACGCGCGTCAGCTGATCTCATCGCCGCGTCTCCGCGGCGGACGTGCTAACCACGGCGCGTTCCCTCCCTCGGCCGCCACTCCGTCGTTAGTCTCGACCACCGCCCATCGTCCCTACTAGCGGCGGGTTCCTGGCCAGGCCACGCTTACTTCTCTTTGTGTCTCTCGGTGCATTTGCAAGCACGCACTTTCGTTTGCTTTTTTGCACGTGTCGGCTTTCATTACATTTGACTCGGATTTGAGCTCTGCACACTTCTCCGCTGCTAGTGTTCGCAGCTGCGTGCTTAGCAGCTGGCCCAAAATGCATCCCTGGAAGGCAGCGCAGGGAAACACGCTGCCCGCTGGCATTGGGGACCTCTTGCGTCTAGGTGTTCCGAATCTTGAGTCCTTCCTCCCTTCTCCCTCGAACCCTAATTGCCCCGGGACCTCTGGCTGGGTCACACAATAGCACCTTATTGTTTTACATTCAGCTCCCACAAATAAACACAACTTATCCTCTATCCTCCTGTGTCCACCAACAGAGTCACTCAATCGCTCATTCTATCCCCATCCACCACGGGGAAAGCCATTTAGATACTTTACCCCTCTTACAAGAGACTCTTTGTAAAACTTGAGCTGTTCAAATAGTTACTCAAAGTTGTGCGGTACGAGCCCAACGCTTAGGCTGGCATTCGCAAATCCGGTGTTGTGACAGAGATATAAAACCAGTAGAGATTGGTCGCCAAGAAAGGTGACATGGGATGGGACCTAAAGGCCTCGAGTTGCCCTCCGCAGAGTTAACGAAGAAGGGATTTTAACAGAAAGCCACAGTTTGCCGAGCCGCGCACACAATTAGTGGGAACGCCGCTAGTTTGATACGGGACTAGCCGCCCTTAGACGCCGCGCCACTCAACGGGAGACATCGCCTTGCCCGTACCTCCAGATTGTGGGGAATTAATTGGCAACAATTGGAGGGTGTTCAACAAACACGCTTCCGCGTGAAGTGCATCCGTAGGAGGTCTGCATCGTCAACACCCCCCCCCCCCCCATGTGTCAGAGACTTCATAATCAACGATAATGCGTGTATTCATATATAGACAAAGATCCCCCGTATAGCCTTAACAGACTGTTGGGGCGAGTGCTTTTAGCGAGAACCTATGAAGGCGGGCACAGCACACGAGGGGGTGGGTGGCCAACACAACGCCCGGTCGCCTTTGTCTCTCCAGCGGCGATGTTTGCACACCGCACCAGGTAATTATTTGAGGCTGAGTCGACCTAGGCGAGCCCCCGGACCATTTCAGATAATTATCACTTTTTTTTTTTGGCCGTGAGCGGGAGTCGAACTCGGGTCGCCGGGTTCGTAGCCGCTACACCACCGCCGCAGACATCCAGATGAAATTGTTGGGGGGGTGGGAGGGGGCAAATGTCATTAATTAGCGAGCACCATTTTTAGGTTTCGCAGAGCGGTCTGCCTATTACCACGCCGACCCTCCTGACCACCTTTGTCTCTCCCCTGCTAAGTGCTTATCACATCCCAGGGTGCCACACATTCTCACGTGGGGCTGACTCAAAGCGAGGGGAAGGCCCCTGTGAGTTTCAGACGCCACTCTCCACCCACGTCACGCAGTAGCCGGCAGTCCATGCAGCACAGTCCACGAGTTTCGGTATCTCATCAGGCGCGACTCGTAGGGCGGATTATGATGAACGTCGTGGGATTTTTACTGAACTGCCTGCCGTCTTTTTTTGTTCGTGTTCTAATTCTCTAGGAATAACAGCGGCAACTTGACCACAACTCTCTCGTGTTTGTTGTAACGTTCTGACCGGCTCCTCCTGGACATCTCTGAACAAGAGCTTCATAGCTCGTCGGATTCCTCCAGCATCAATACAGATTCTGATTCACATTCACAGACCCGAAGTTTGAGACGTGCGACCATCCCTCCAATGGTCTGTAAAATGTACCACCTTGTGGCCACTGATTTAAATGATACCCACACGGTTGCGGTGGTCTTCTCAGGATGGACTCACCCCCATCGTGGCAATGTGGAATTTCCACTTCATCGAGAGAGATGATCCGCATGGCACTGCTTGCGTGAGGGAGGAGATGCTGAGCGTGTGACAATTTTTATTATTATTTTAAAATGAGACAGAGTTTTCCAAATATTTGCTATTAAATTCATGTCTTTTAGGTGTCTGATGAATCGTGACATCTAAATAGCATGATTAATAGCCACTTAATTAATATCTAAAAATAAGAGTAAACCTTAACATTTCATTACGCCCGTCTTAATTTGTCGTGTGAAGACTAATGTTTGTTTTTATTCACGGCTTCCTGATTAATGGTATTATTGTGAAGATTGGAGTTTAAATTCAAATTCACTTTGCATTCATTTCTCCAGACCGGGTGTGTAAAGTCGAGTTAAAATTCACAAACGCAGAAACGCACCGCTGTCGTCTCTTATTGTTTGTTTGCAGGAGTCGTCATCTGGTTGAAGATGAAGGCGATTCGTGCAAGGAGTAACACTTTCACTTCGACTTTCGCACTCCGCACAAACAACTGCAAAGCGTCTCTTCTTCTGCGCTTGAATTTTAGGGAACCCGTGGTTCCACACACAAACAACGACTAACAAAGACCCCCCGTGTAGCCTGTAACAGACTGCTTGGGGCAAGTGCTGCTAGCGAGCACCTGTGAAGGCCGGCACGGCACACGAGGGCCAGCACCACGCCCGGCCGCCTTTGCCTCCCGAGCGGCAATGTTTGCACACCGCACCAGGTACTCATTTGAGGCTGAGTCGACCTAGGGGAAGCCCAGGACCGGATCAAATAATCCTCGCTGGATGGTCGCCGTGAGCGTGAATCGAACTCGGGTGGCCCGGGTATCGTGGAGCGACGCGTGAACCGCTGCGCACACGCGTGCAGGCACGTGGCGTGGCACGCGTGCAGGCACGTGGCGTGGCACGCGTGCAGGCACGTGGCGTGGCACGCGTGCAGGCACGTGGCGTGGCACGCGTGCAGGCACGTGGCGTGGCACGCGTGCAGGCACGTGGCGTGGCACGCGTGCAGGCACGTGGCGTGGCACGCGTGCAGGCACGTGGCGTGGCACGCGTGCAGTCACGTTGCGTGGCACGCGTGCAGTCACGTTGCGTGGCACGCGTGCAGTCACGTGGCGTGGCACGCGTGCAGGCACGTGGCGTGGCACGCGTGCAGGCACGTGGCGTGGCACGCGTGCAGTCACGTGGCGTGGCACGCGTGCAGTCACGTGGCGTGGCACGCGTGGCACGTGGCGTGGCACGCGTGCAGGCACGTGGCGTGGCACGCGTGCAGGCACGTGGCGTGGCACGCGTGCAGTCACGTGGCGTGGCACGCGTGCAGTCACGTGGCGTGGCACGCGTGCAGTCACGTGGCGTGGCACGCGTGCAGGCACGTGGCGTGGCACGCGTGCAGTTACGTGGCGTGGCACGCGTGCAGTCACGCGGTGGCTCGGAGATGTTAACTACCTCGCCTGGTATGCAGGAGGTCGTGGGTTCGATCCCGACCCTGACGATGCCTGCTGTGTATTTGGAGTTTGCGTGTCTCTCCGCGTGGACGCGTAAATTCGTCTCCGGGTCCTCCGGTTTTTCCCTTCACATGTATAAACATGCGTTTCGAGTATGTGGTTGTTATCCATTACCGCATGATAAGCCACTTCGTGGGGCTATCATTTGTGGCTTGGTCGCTGATGAAAAAGAGCTGAATCGCTCAGGGGACCTTACCTGGTGAAATAAAAAGTCTAATTAGTTTAGTCTCTGCATTGGACTCTGCAGGGTGGTTCTGATGTTTTGTGACCCCAAACTAATTCTCTAAATCTTAATTTTTTTTTAACGTAATGTGTATTTAAACATAAATGAATATGCAAAAGAAAAACATCTTAGGGGTAAATTAATTAGGGCTCACGAAACATCTGGGACACGCTGTACATGATCTAACCCACGTGTTCCTCTTCGTATCAATTCGTGTAAATCCCAAGCATGCACCAATCCGTACATGCTGGCGCATCTCTCACATGTTGCTCCATCTCCCACTCGTAATGCCGACGACTCCGATGCGCACGCTGCGTACAGCTTTGTTCAGAGCCGGCCGGGGAGTGGCTCCGCTCCGTGGCCCGTGACCCAGCCCACTGTGGAGGCAGCAGGGAGTTGGTGGGTCACCGCGCAGACGTTGGGAAACTCCCTTTCCCCGTGGGTGCCGAGGAGGAGGAGGAGGAGCTCCCCTGGCTCGCCACGAGCGCGCGGTACAGCAGAACACGTGGACCGCGCCTTTTTCCGTGTGGACGGCATCGAGTGTTGCCCCCTCGCACGCGTGGGGGTTCCTCCACATTGAAACACCTCGATACGTCGCGGACTGCAGCGCTCGGGCAATTTGTTGGCAGCGGCCGCTCAGCGCGTCGCTGCTGCCTTTGTTCGTCGGTGCACGTTGAACTTCTTTCGCACCGTACGTAGGCAACCTCCTCCTCGCGCGTCTGAGTCGACATCGACGTGAAATTATGATGATTCTTTTTACCCTGAGAACAGGGACGCGACGACTTCCCAAGGCTACAGTCGCGCCACACGGACTGGGGATTGTTTTTATCTTTCGACGCAGCGACTCGAGCAGCTGCCGTGCAGAGCTGGACTCGCTCGCTCACTCGCTCGCCCCGTTGCTGCACACGCGGAGGTGGTGGAGGGGGGCATTCCCGACCACAGCGACATCATCTCTGCTGCTGCTGCTGCAAGGAGGTGCTACCGTGCAGCAGCCAGTGCTGACAACAAGGGGAGCGCGTGGCTGCGGCGAAGGGCGTCGTGAACGCTGCCACCGCTGTCCGTTTCATAATCGCGCCCAGCGGCGGCCGGTGGTGGGAGGAGGGAGGGGGGGGCTCCAGCAAAACACGGTCCGAAAATAAACACGGCGGCTCCGTTACACAAATAGGGGATAATTCCAAAACAACGCGCTTTTTGTAAAAAAAAATGGTGAACCAGACGCGTGCCCGTTGCTGAGCCGAGCGGGCGAGCGGTGAGCGAGCGAGCGAGGTGGCTGGGAGGGAACACGTGTCTGCTGTGCGAGCCCCAGCACCTGTTTCCTCCAACGTCTTCCCAACGTTCTGGGGGTCGGGGGGAAGGAGTGCGGTGGGGGTAAACGATCGCCGACGGGGGCTCAGGGCATTGCTTCAAAGGCAACGCGGGAGAGATTGAGGCTGTGACATCGTTTTGCCAAGAGTAGCAGCGGGAGGCATGCAGTTGCCGGTGTCACTTGATTACAAAAATTATACCCCAGCTGAATGATTCCGTTTAATTAAAACTCACTACTCGTTAGTTAATGCGTACAAATTACAACTTCAGGTCGTAGGGCTGAACAAACAGAGAATGTGAAAGCAAACAATGTAACTTGCCACTAATTTGCTATTGGATTAAACTATATATTGTATCATGATGTCGAGTGTGGTGGTGGCGCAGTAGTTTGGACTCTGCACTTTAAACCCGGTGACCTGAGTTTGAATCCAGGCCACGGCGAACATCAGTGGTGAGTGAATTTAGAACCCCCCCCCCCCGCCCCAGGATCAACATTGCAACCACGTGACACCCGGGACACCCTGGCAAAATGAAACGCTCCATCTCAGCCGACTTTCCCGTGTGTAATATGAAACAACAACAAAAAGACCCCCCCACACTGACCAGCGTGGTGAAGTATGGACAAGCACCCCCCCCCCCATGACCCACATGGGTGTGGGCAGACGCTCATCCAGCAGTCGGATTGACTAAGGGCAGTGCCACGTGACGTGCACGTAATGCACTGCGGGGTCAGAGCCGGCTGACATGTACACCGCGATGTTTCAGGTGTCCTCCTGGGTGGATCATCGGTGAGTGGCGCCGGTTGAAGTCCCCCGTTCCCTTTTTCACACAGACCAGCTTGGTCATTTTCCATTGGCAAGTAACCGCATTGGCAACACGTCCCAGATGCTGCTGCTGCTGCTGTTGGTGGGATTTATTTCTGGTTGTTCGCGGCTGTGAGAAATACAGCCACGCAGGAGGGCGGTGTGTGGTATGGGCGCTTTAAATGCCCACGTGACAGGCCACTTCGTTGTGCTGTCTGAAAAAGACCTACACAGCTCAGCGGGCCTTACCCTGGTGAAAAACCAAGAATGTGTTCACTTTAAGCTGAGAGCGAACTTCGATGGGATTGATCGACTGCTGTCTCAGACCCCCCCCCCCCCCCCCCCAGTGACGCGCCTGCTGGCGAGGCAAGCTCGGCAGTGCGGAGACAGTACAGCAAGTAGCTGTGTTCGCCAATTCGTGCACACTTTGATCGCTCTCGCATCGCATCCGTGGGTTATCTACGGGCACGGTGACTCCCCCCCCCCACACACACGTGCACGTGAAGGGGAATTAGCCAATTAGCTCAACCAGGACATCGACTCGTGAGGCTTTTGTTTGTTTTTGTCACATCACAGCAACTACAAGTGACAAAGATGCTCATTAATTTGTATGCTGATAATATTGATAGATGATCGTGTTTAGCTTGTGATGATTAACAATTGAAATGCTTCTATGTAACCGGTGCCAATTAATGTTGATAATGGTTTGTGACCAATGCTCTTGCCACCGCTGATGCTAATGATGATGACAATGACAGCTTGTATTGGTTTCTATTTTAATTAATGTAATCTACCGTTACCCTGCTAATGATGACGATGTTGATGACGATATTGGAAACATTTGGTGTTGGCGTGCACCATGTTACAAGTAACTAACGGCACTTTCATAGTTTATTTGTGTTCTATTATACTGTGGATTAACGGTGTTATTGTTATTTAGCGTCGTCATAAATATTGCCCCAAGTAGGTGTACACTATTTGACTTGTGTAGCGATACAAATTAGTCTTTTTTATTTACTCTTCAGAGTGGAAGTTATTACTAATGAATATTGCAACCTGTAATGCATGGGATATCCACTGACATGTTATGTCTCGGGCAAATGCAGCTGCATCTCACGACGATGTAACATCATAGAAACAGCAAGTCTCCGAAGCAGGAGAGTACGATTTGAAATCGGAGTCTGGGCCATCATCAGTACCATCATCCTCCCCTGGTGGTTAAAATAATGAACACCTAGTAAGGCTGTACAACTTAGTGGATGACAACAGCAGTTTGACGATGGGAAGATCGGTGCTTGCCATAGATATGTGGAATTTCCACCATGGGCTTAACAATTTCTATTGCATATTGTATTTTTTTTGTCAAAGGGAGAATGGTGAAGCATGTTCTGCATAACTCGAGGACGCATCAGAGAGCTATGCAACACAACCACGAAAACCCTTTGCAGCTGCATGCGTACCCAAATGAAACGATGTGTCCTATGCACAGACTCGGGTCCATTATGACAATAGGGGATTCACACCTCTGTGGCAGAGATGAGCATCGCACCCCGGAAATAGAGTTTAGGGAAGGGTTCGGATACTCTGACACTTTGACCCTGACAATCTGACACTTTGACCCTGACAATCTGACACTTTGACCATGACACTTTGACCCCGACACTCTGACACCTTCACAATCTGACACTTTGACCCCGACATCTGACACCTTCACATTCTGACACTTTGACCCTGACACGTTAGACCCTGACACGCTGACGCCTTGGCATTCTGACACTGACCCGTTGACACTCACACGTTAACCCTGATGCCATGACCGTTTGTCCCTGACGCTATGACCCTTTGACTCAGACACTGTGACATGTTGATGCAGTACTCGAACACTGACACTCTGATACTAACATTCTGACACACTGACACTTTAACACTGCGACACTTTGACATTTTAACACTGATACACTGACCCTTTGACACTAACACTCGGACACATTGCACGCTGAACTTATTTCGCACCGTACGAAGCCAACCGTGCTAATCAGAGGTGCGGGGGAAGGACAACGAACTAAACACAAAAATCAGTTCTAAAGAGATTCGCTTTCACACATTGACACGTTGACACTTATTACTGACACCCTAACATTCTGACGCACTGACACTTTGACACTAACACTGAAACTTTGACACTCTTTCACTCTGACACCCTAAAATTCAAACAAACGCCCTGACACGTCGACACTGATATTGACCGACACTGACTCCCTGCCCCCCCTTGTACACCCTTGACATTCTGACTCACTGACTCTGTGGCACGAGCACTGACATACTGCGACATTGGCACGCGCCAGGAGACTCGCCAACGGCAGGAGGATTTCTCCACAATTCCGGCTGTCGCTGAATGAGGCCGGTTGTAATCATCGGCGAAACGTCGTTACTCGACTCGTCAACGCTGTTGCGGGTTTACTCTCCAACACACCGGCGTGCTGAACTCGCAACGAATTGGCACGTTCTGTTGACGTGACAAACCCTTGACTAATCGGCTGTGTCGGGTGGTTCAACGACACATTCATATTTACGCGATCTAACTCCTCGCAACTCCTCCCCCCCCCCTATTATGGACTTTCACCCTGACACACCGCTCTGACACGCCACTCCTGCCCCCCCCCCCCCCGTCATTTGGTGAGGCCGGCTCAGCACGTGGTGGGGGGCTGGGGGGGTTGGGGTGGCAGGGGAGATGGGGGGGGGTCACTCACGGACCATCGCTGCCACCTCGCCGAGACGACCAAATCACCTGCTGGCGAAGAGCCTCGAAAGCGGCGCTGATGGTGTGCACGCGCGTGCGCTCCCGCGCGTTCGCGAGCAGCCTCCTCGTCTGCTGCACCACCTTCGAGTCGGAGCCCTGCAACGAGGCTGCCCCGCCCGACTCGTCTTCGTCGTCGTCATCCTGCTGCCCCGGCCCCGGGCCTGCCCCCGGGCCTGCCCGCGGGCCTGCCCCTTGCCCGGTGCCGGCGCTGTCCATGCTGTCCTCCTCGCTTGGCGCGACGGGGACTCCGAACCGGCCCCTCTTGGAGGGCGGAGGGAGCGGTGATGTGTGCTGCTGCTGTTGTTGCTGCTGCTGTTGCTGCTGTTGCTGCTGCTGATGATGCTGTTGCTGATGATGCTGCTGCTCTTGCTGCTGGTGGTGCTGCTGTTGCTGATGATACTGCTGATGATGATGGTGCGCGAGGTGATGATGACGTTCGTCCACGTAAGACAGTGCATGATGTAGGTGGTGGTGGTGGTGCAGATGCTGCTGCTGCAGCTGTAGCTGCTGCAGCTGCAGGTGGTGGTGGTGGTGCCTCCTCTTCCCCCCCACTGAGGCTGGCGAGAGCGAGCACTCGTCGCCACTGCCGCCGCTGCTCGTCCCCGTGCTCGCGTCGAACGCCGAGGAGGAGGAGGGCAGCACGGCCACCTTGGGGCCTCGGATGACGTTTACCGTGGCCGCCCTGCCCAGGGCGGACGCCTCGGCCGAGGCGGCAAGACCCCAGAGGAACTGGCTGGGGTAGAAGGCGCCGAGCGGATGGTCGGGCTTCATCTCCTCCAGACGCGACGAGGAGCACGCACCGACGCCGCCGCCGACGCCGGCGGCGGCCACCACGTAGCTGGGCGTGGGGCGGAACGCGTGGGGCAGTTCCGCGTGGCCCGTCGGGGTGCGCCGGGGCTCCGCGGGCTCCTCCGTCTCGCTGCTGTCGAGGGGGCTGCCCGGCGGGGAGCCCGTGCTCGACGCCAGGGAGCCCGGCGCCGGGGGAGGGTACCTGGTCGGCTTGCTCGACTTTCGGGGCGTCTTCGCCTTCCTCGCCGACCCCAGCGACCTGGGACCCTCGGCGGCGATGTCCCGCATCCTGTTCATGGTCTCCGCCCGGGGCTGGCGGCAGCGCAAATGATGCGGGAGCCGCGGCGAACTCGCGCGCGGCAACAAAAACAGCGAGAAAGAAAAGTCGCCCCCCGGCGCGCAGCCGTGCGCGGAGGCGACAGTGGCGGCCGTCGGTGGATCTTGAGTCCCGATGTCACCACCGCTGCCGGTGCGCAGTGGTCACGGCCATGGCTTGGCAGTCCCGAGCGAGTGCGCGCGTCCGTCAGTGTGCGTGGCTGGGGAGTCCGGCTGGGAAGACGGGCGGCCGGGCGGAGTGAATGAGCGCGCGGTGAGACGAACTTGCAGGTCGAGAGGAGTGGGAGATTGCGCGTGACCCGTGGGCGAGCGAGCGCGAACGAGAGCGTGGGGAGCTGAGCGACGGGGATCGAGCGTGAGAGCGACACGGCGGAGCTGAGTGGCTGAGGGATTGAATGAGCGAGTGGGATGCCGAACGAGGGAGGGAGCGAGCGAGCGTGAGAGTGAAAGTGTCACCGAGTGAGTGGCAGAAGGAGAACGGCGAGTGAGCGAGTCCACGGTCACGGGGTGCATCTCCGCTCCGTGTCGCGTCCCCGCTGATCCCCGACTGCCATGGCAGCTGCTCACAGCAGCAGTGGGAACCCGCGAGCAAGTGGCGGCGGCAGCGGCAGCACGGAGGAGCAGGCGGGGACTCTGTCTGTGTGTTCGTCTCTCGCTCCACTGCAGAGGCAGCAGCAGCGGCAGACTTTTTTCAGGATCGAGGGAGAGAGGAAGGCAGGCAGGGAAGAGGGGCGGGGGGGGATGAGAGGGGCGGGCAGGGGGGGGTCTCTTGCTCCTGGCGAGCGGTGGGGGTTGGAGAGGGTAAAAAAGAATCTGCAGACTAACTGGCAACAGCTGTGTTTACCCAGCCGGCGCCGGCCTAAGCTTAGCACACTCGCCCGTCGCCATGCCCTCCTCCCTCGCTGCCTTCTGAACCACCCGCCAGCAGCACATCCCATCACACACACATACACACACATACACACACACATCCATACACACATCCATACACATCCACACACACACATCCACAACACATGCACACACACACATCCAAACACATCACACATCCACACACACATCCACAACACACATCCACACACACGCACATGCACACACACACATCCATACACACACATCCACACACACACACATCCACACCCACGCGCGCACACACATCCACGCACGCGCGCCCACACATCCCTTACACACACACACATCCACACACACACATCCCTTACACACACACACATCCACACACACACATGCACACACGCGCGCACACACATCCCTTACACACACACACATCCACACACACACATGCACACACGCGCGCGCACACGTCCATGCACGCGCGCGCACACACACGCACACGCACGCGCCCACACATCCCTTACACACACACACATGCACACGCACGCACGCACGCGCGCACACATCCACGCGCGCGCGCACACATCCACGCACGCGCGCCCACACATCCCTTACACACGCGCGCTAAGCACGCTCACCAACAACAGCGACTGCCATTCGCGACCAAGTGGTGGTGACGTCGCCACGGGGCTTGTGCCAGGCTAGGTGCACCCTCAAGGCCACGTGAAAGTGTGGAAGGCTCGCTGGCTGGAGGTCACGGGATAGATCCAGGTGTTATGAGTTGGCTTACTGAGATGACTCGCAGATGCACCAACTGTGCTCCCCACCCTGCCAACTTGCCGTGTTTAGCCGCCCGGCACTCCGTTCGTTGTTGTGAGCGTCGCTTCTCTGCCCCTCGCTGTTTTTTGAGGGCGACTGCCTCCAACTTGCCCAGTAGCGGCCTCCACGAACCTCCTACACATAGGCCGATCTTGACGCCGCTGGTACCGGTCATTAGCAAGTCCACTCAGCTCCACATCCTCCCGTACAGCATCAGCCCATCTCCTCTACAGCCCGTGCCGCGCCCATCCCCCCCCCTATCCGGCCAAACAGAAGCTGCTTGGGCATGCGGGCTACGTGACGCAGCCAACTGCAACCTCGCCTGCCGAAGCTCACTGATGATGGATCTGAGCTCCTCGCACAATATCATCTGATTACACCCAGGATGGATCGTAGGCAGGCCAGCCTGGATGTTTCAAACCGGGGCAGATGTTCCTTAAAAGGGGTTCCACGTTTAACAGGCATAGAGAAGGGAGGGGGCATAATAATTGTGGCCGAGAATTATCGGCGTTTCATACGGTGCGAATGGGCCAGGTAGCTCCCACGCAGCGTTAGGCAGCTGATGGAACGAGAATGCCGCTCGACTGATTTGGAGTGAGACCTCTGCTGCCAAACCGGATCTGGTCATAAGCACACGGACCCAGGTACGGGGACTTCTCAACGCTCTTCCACAACTGCCCAATCACGAATGGGGAGTTGAGTTGGACACGTATTTGATGACACGACCTAATGCCCAGGTAAGTGCTTTGTTTTTGTAGGGCTGATGGTAAGACCCCCGTCACTTGATAGCAAGCTCCAGGTTTCAGCACTCGAGTCCTCCAATGACTTCTCGGAGTGGGCAGCAATTACCAGATCATCAGCATTACACGCCATTGACCAATAGGGAGCCATCCCGTGACCGCACCCGTGCATTGATCAGCCCCCATTGTGTCAGTGTCATATGGAGACACCACCGGTATAATTGTGGTCAAACGAGACGTTGAACAGTGATGTTAAACAGTGTAGGGGCCAGACGACATCACGGTCAGTTGGAAGATCACTCGGGTAGGTGTTGGTGTCAAGGACATGGGCCCGCATTCGCTGTTCGGTCACTATATAGTGCAGCAGATGTTCTTGCTTGGAACCTGTGTGCATCTATGTATAGACACAAAGACAAAGATCCCCCGTACAGCCTTAACATACTGTTGGGGCAAGTGCTGTTAGTGGGCACCTATGAAGGCCGGCACTGTGGCACACGAGGGGATGGGGGAGCAGCACCACGCCCGGCCGCCTTTGTCTCCCCAGTGGCTATATTTACACATCGCACCAGGTGATGAGGCTGGGTCGACCTAGGGGAGGCCCAGGATCGGGTCAGATAATCGTCACTGGCTGTTGGCCGTAAGCGGGAATCAAACTCGGGTTCGTAGCGCAGCGCGCTAACCGTTCCACTCCCCATCCTTGTATACACAGGCATCTCCACACACACACACACACATCTCCACACACACACACGTCTCCACACACACACACGTCTCCACACACACACACGTCTCCACACACACACGCGTCTCCACACACACCCACGCGTCTCCACACACACACACGCATCTCCACACACACACAGGCATCTCCACACACACACATCTACACACACACACACATCTCCACACACACACATCTCCACACACACACACATCTCCACACACACACGTCTCCACACACACACACGTCTCCACACACACACGCGTCTCCACACACACCCACGCGTCTCCACACACACACACGCATCTCCACACACACACAGGCATCTCCACACACACACATCTACACACACACATCTCCACACACACACACATTTCCACACACACACAGGCATCTCCACACACACACATCTGCACACACACACACGCATCTCCACACACACACAGGCATCTCCACACACACACATCTACACACACACATCTCCACACACACACACATCTCCACACACACACAGGCATCTCCACACACACACACATCTCCACACACACACACGCATCTCCACACACATATCTCCACACACACACACGCGTCTCCACACACACACACACGCGTCTCCACACACACACACGCATCTCCACACACACACATCTCCACACACACGCACGCATCTCCACACACACACGCATCTCCACACACACACGCATCTCCACACACACACACGCGTCTCCACACACACACACGCGCGTCTCCACACACCCACGCGTCTCCACACACACACACATCTCCACACACACAGGCATCTCCACACACACACAGGCATCTCCACACACACACGCGCGTCTCCACACACACACACAGGCATCTCCACACACACACATCTCCACACACACACAGGCATCTCCACACACACACACGCATCTCCACACACACACACGCGCGTCTCCACACACACACACATCTCCACACACACCCACGCGTCTCCACACACACACATGCGTCTCCACACACACACGTATCTCCACACACACACACGCATCTCCACACACACGCGCGTCTCCACACACACAGCCGTGGACATACACGCGCTGGCGAGCAGCCCTCCCAGCCACCAACCCACCCCACATACCCAAAGACAAAGTTCCCCCGTGTAGCCTTACGGGCTGTTGGGACAAGTGCCGTTAGCGAGCACCTATTAAGGTGGGAACGGCACACGAGGGGGTGGTTGTGGCCAGCAGCGACACGCCCAGGCCGCCTTTGTCTCCCCAGTGCTGCTGATGATACCAGGTACTCATTTAAGGCTGAGTCGACATAGAGGAGGCCCAGGACTGGTTCCGATATTCGCCACTGTTATTGGTCGTGAGTGGGAATCGAACTCGGCTCGTGCAGGGTTCGTAGTACAGCGTGCTCACCGCTGCGCCACTGCTCCCCCCCCCAGCGCGAGAAAGATCCCCCGTACCCCCTACACAGGCTAGAGGGGCAAGTGTTGTTAGCGAGCACCTATTAGTAACCAACTTACACACACATACACAAAGATCCCCCGTATCCCCTACACAGGCTAGAGGGGCAAGTGTTGTTAGCGAGCACCTATTAGTAACCAACTTACACACACATACACAAAGATCCCCCGTATCCCCCACACAGGCTAGAGGGGTGCTCGCTAACGACACTTGTCCCAACAGCCTGTAAGGCTACACGGGGGAACTTTGTCTTTGGGTGTGGGTACGTGGGGTGGGTTCAGTGCCGGATTATCCCGGTAGCACAAGTAGCTACTACACATGTAGCTACCACACATGTAGTAGCTACATGTGTGGTAGCTACATGTGTAGTAGCTACATGTGTAGTAGCTGCATGTGTCGTAGCTGCACATGCTACGGGCCCCGCACTTTCAAGGGCCCCGCGCTAAACACTTTCAAGCTATCAATTCCGGTTCAGTGATTCTGCACTTGCTCTATTACTAAAGTACTATACTGTCTTCAACTTTTACGAACGACTGGGTGTTTAAGGTTAGTGAATTGTCGTATTATCCAGCTGTATAGCAAATGAAAAAATGCAATTACTTTACTGTGCAAGATTTAAAAAATGTGTGTTTTAATATTTACGTGTTATTTTTTACGTAAATTTAGGACCCCTTTACAACAACAACAACGTGTGCCGCAGGGCCCCGCACGAGCTTAACGCGGCACTCGGGTGGGTTGCTGGCTGGCAGGAAGACGACCTTCGTCGGGGCCCGCGGCGTCGGTCGCTCGAGTCGGAAGGAACGTCGTGAGCCGCCGTCGGGCGCACAAAATGTAAATAACTCGCAAAGTCACTCGACTGGGATTAGTTCGCGCACGCGGAGCAATCAACACCCCAGGACAAATTGACGCGGAACCCCTCTCGAGACGAGGCACGGGGGCCGCTCGGTGACGCTTTTCTGGGTAACAAAAGCACGTTGTGTTGAACTTCTTTCGCGCCGTACGTGAAGCCCCACCGTGCCAATCACAAATGCCGAGGGAAGGACAGGAACATGTTTTTTTCTGTTTCCATACCTAAGGAATCCGATGAGCTGTAAAGCTCCTTTTTTTCACAGATGTCCGGTAACAGAAACA